CGCAAAGTCTTTATAAGCAAATGCAATGACAAAAGGAATCGCTCCAGTCTGACTTGCCGCCGCCATGGTCTCTGTGATATGAAACCTAAACTTGAGGCAGCACGCATGCGTTACAAACCTTGTAAAGCGTGCGATATGAAGGGAGGAAACTACTTCTGCCTGCGATTTTTCCATAACGCTGGGAAACGCATCGGAAAAAGTGAAATGAGTTAAATTATAAAATAGATAACATTAGAATATAGCAGCATAGGCCTTCACTATTAGCTTCCACCACACAGGAGAGATGTTTAGAAATGTTTATAAAGATGTTTACGTTTAAATGTTGTATTAATTGTGTATGGTATGTTTCAGATTTATTCAATTGAAAATGTAAATGTGAAACTATGAATTTTCCGCACGTACCACTAAAATGCACTCGCAGTGCATACCACTGGTGGTACACGTACCACAGTTTGAGAACCACTGTATTAGACCGCATTGACAAAAAAGTCTTTATAAGTTGCAATTATACAAAAAATAGGCAATAAATTCATAAATAAAGATCACATTTGTAAAGTTGGTGAAAAAAAGTTTTAAATTGTCATGAGAGTCAAGTCAATAATTATGTGAGAAAAGATGTAATAAAGTCGTAAATGTAAGACGGAAAAAAAGTTGGAAAATTTGAGAATAAAGTGTTACACTTTTGAGAAACCCAATATGAGTCCCAATATTACAAGGAATAAAAGCAAATGTTCGAGTGAAAGTATGAGTTTAGAGGTTAGCCATAGGTAAATTAAAACCTTTATGGGAAAAAAAGATCAGTTTGTAAGTTGCAGTTGGCGTTGGTTTTACAAAAGAAAGCACCATCTTCAGACAGAGCAATGTCACGTCATTATGAGCATTGATAAGATTAGCAAGAAAGACCTTTTTTTTCTTTCTTATTTTCTTGACGTATCAGGTATTTTACTCTTCACTATTACTTCTTCCTTTTGTTCACAATATAATAACTTTACTTTTATTTCTTGTAATATTATGACCTTAATTTTATGATTTTGTTCTTATAAATTAACCATTTATTATGACAATTATTTTCTTTCTTTCTTTTTTTTTACCAATGCGGCCTTAGTTATCCCTCCTTAATGTGAAATTAAATGCTGCCTGTTTGTATGTGCTGTCGGCTGTATGTGGTTTGTATTGCTGTCGGTTTGAACTTTGTTTTCTGTTTTGTCTTCCAGGTGTTGTATCTCCTGGGGGCCATGTCTCTGTCTATGGCACTGCAGCTGGACCGCCATGGTCTTTGGAACCTGCTGGGACCCAGTCTGTTTGCTCTAGGCATCATGGCTGTGGCGTGGGTAAGATGATCCAGATCTACTCACAGGAATATGGAGAATGTCAAGGAATGAAAGAAAAAGAACACAATAACAAAACATAAGAAAGTTAAAAATTCAATATTTTATTCTGAAGGGTTTAGATAAGTTTAAATTAAATGGAATCTCAGTGGATCACAATAGATTAAATGCCCTTTTATGGTTCACTCACTTTTTTCTGTAAGCGTAAAAAACAAAACAAAAAACATTTTAATCAGCAGATTACGGTACTACAGGGATTGACCACAGACATTGTTGAAAACTGTGGTTCTAGCCAAGACAGTTTCCTTACATTAGCTCTGAAGGGGCTTTAAAAGTTTTCGCAGTCTGTGAGTATTAGTCATGCTTGTAGTTCCATTATAAGTCCACTTGTACTTCCTGTGACTCTTTGTCAAGTCATAATGAGCTCTCTGAAGTGAGAAGATAAAAAAAATAATAGTCTCTCGGCCAAGGTTTTTTGGGGGGAAAATAAAAGAAACTTACTACCAGAGCTCAGACATGGTGGTTCCTTTAAAAAAAAAGCATTGCATTGGATTAAGTAGCACTGAGGTTCATCCTCACCTGCCCAGGACAAATTGAAACTGTTTAATTTCACTTTGTTGATCATGTATCTTTACCACAGGTGGGAAACGTCATTTTTAAAAATGATTTTAATGATGTTAAAAAGTTTCATCTACACAAGATTTTAGTAAAGGCACAACAATGTATCACTAAAAGTTCGAGCAAGGTTTTAGAAAAAAAATTGATTAATTTTTCAGTTTGAAACATTCCAAAGAGTCAGGATTGGCTGAGGTATTTCGGCGAATCACAAACACTAGAATTTTTTGTTTTTGTTTTTGTTTCTTTTGTTTTGCCTTAAACCAATCCCAGTTCGTCATACGGTATAAATGGAATTAATGTCAATATAATCCTACTGGTGCTGACATTTGGTTATATATATATATATATATATATATATATATATATATATACAGTATACAGTAGGGTAGTGTAGTATCAGTGGGGGTATACAGTATACAGTAGGGTACTGTAGTATCAGTGGAGGTCATGACGGAGCTGAAGTAACTCACTATTTAGAACCAAATCTATGAATAATGGTCACAGAACAAAGGGTCAAAAGCACTGGGGGTGGAATCAAAGTCTTTAATCTAAGACACAGGTACAGAGTTCAGCACAATCATCGGTTTTCCAACATGGGTCAAAACACAGGAGATTGGTCCAACAGAAAGAAGCAACAGTGTCAAAACGATGGGCGAGGTCAAAGTGTGAATTACTGGGCCGGGGAGTTCACGTACTTAGAAGTGGAAGAAAATGGGGTGGGGTTGGAAACCGGCTACACTCTATACACACCAGCTAACAAGACACAGGTGGAAGGCATTAGAGGAGGACAAGGTTATCGTCAGGGCAGGAAACACAGGAGGGCAGAAAGTGAAGGACCTGGAGAGGTGAGACACAAGAAAGGAGAAAAAAAAAACAAAACAAAGAAAAACCGCAGAGACACTGACACAAACGAGGGGAAAACAACAGGCAGGGATGTGACAATATGATGGCAGAGAGACATAATGCAGGGCAGAGCTGCTGCTGCCATCGCAGTGTCTCTGAGGTTTGGTGTTCTGACCTGGGAACTTTTGTTCTCAGGAAAATGATCAGTCATTCCACAAATCATGTCCTTAATTTTCTGTCAACAGACATTGTTTCCTCTCTGCCTGTAGCTGACGCAGAATGATGAACAGCCGTAACGTAGATCACTGCATCATCTGCGAACCTAAACTGTCTAGTACAGATATAAGCAAACTAAGGCCCGCGGGCCGGAAGCGGTGAAAATATTTATTTACAAACACACTTTACACAATAACACCATATACATCTACCAGAGCTGAAAACCGCTAACTATAATTTTTGAATAAATAATTTATGTCGGGTGTCGTGACAAAAGAACGAGGACCTGAAGACGGACGCTGAGAATGAATCACTCACTCATTACTTGCAGGAGTAACGAGTGAGTGATTCTTTTGCAGAAAATGAGTTTTTCGCAGAGAGTGATTCATTCGCAGAAAGTGATTCTTTCACAGAGAGTGATTCATTCGCAGAGAGTGATTCATCCGCAGAGAGTGATTCGCGAGTGATTCATATGTTCAATATGAAAGAATCTTTCATATGACTCGGGAGTCACGAGTCGTATGAAATATTTGTTCATATTGACCGAATCACTCGCGAATGGCACATCACTAGCATCTTTGTCACATTAGTGAAAGTTGAAGTTATGATAATGGGGCTAGCTAATGACAGGTTGACTGTGGTAATTTACTTTATGAATATATTCAGCTAATGTTCAATTAGCGAAGATTAAATTACTATTTCCTTTTTTTACTATAAAAACTGCGCAAATGAAACAAAAAAATAAACTGCAGAGTCATGGGAATCTGTTCAATCTAATGCTAATGTAGCATTTTCCTTAGGTGAACCTTAACCCGCGCTTTAATTATTTGACACTTCATTTCATTTATCAGCTTCTTCAGCAGCTTGTCATATCTGCATCTCAGCATTCTCCACCACGTGCTGGCGTGTTTAAGTGCTGCACATTTCGTACAGCCCTTTCATTTCAGCTTGTCATGTTTCTGCTATGCCTGACATTCTGGATGTTCCCAGACACAAACCAAATTAGATCAGTCAAGCGGAGGGCACAGAGTGCCATAGGAGGAGGATGGAGGAGAAGAGAGAGACGCTCACATTTTCCAACGTAAACCAGGACAAATTCTCCAAACTAAATAAAATCTCAGACTTTCGGATGAATAAGTCATCATGGTCTAAGGAAAAAAAAAGCTTGTTTTCGCTCAGTGTTTCCCAACTTTTTTTGAGCCACAGCACATATATACAGTATGTCACAAAAGTGAGTACACCCTCACATTTCTGCAGAGATTTCATTATAATGTTTAATAGAACAACACTGAAGAAACATCGCTTTGACACAATGAAAAGTAGTCTGTGTAAAGCTTATATAGCAGTGTAAATTTATTTTTCCCTTCAAAAAAACTCAAAATATAGCCATTAATAGCTAAACCCCTGGCAACAAAAGTGAGTACACCCCTAAATGTCCAAACAAAGCACTGCTTGTCATTTTCCCTCCAAAATACCATGTGACTCGTTACTCTTACTAGGTCTCAGGTGTGAATAGGGAGCAGGTGTGTTCAATTTGTAGTACAGCTCTCACACTCTGTCATACTGGTCACTGAAACTCCCAAGATGGCACACCATGGCAAGGAACTCTCTGGGGACCTTAAAAAAAAGAATTGTGGCACTACATAAGGCTGGCCAAGGCTACAAGAAGATTGCCAACACCCTGAAGTTGAGCTGCAGTACAGTGGCCAAGATCCTCCAGCGTTTTAAAAAATCAGGATGCACTCACAACAGGGCTCGTGTTGGACGTCCAAAGAAGCTGAGTGAACGTGCACAGC